AAAACTTAAATATTGATTAATTTATTAAGATCAAATTAATTTTATTTAATTACTTCAAAATTATTAATAAGTGGATATAAAAATGCTTCTAATTTTTTAATAAACATTTTCACTTGTCCAATACCATTCTCTTTAGCCTTAAAGTATATATTACACAATCTTTCTGTTAATTCATTTACAACAAGATGATGATTTTTCACTTTTTTTTCTTCTTTCATTTGCTCAGAAATATCTATCATTACCAATTCACATCTTTCATAAACCTCAAACCCACTTTCTTCAAATAATTCTTGAAATATTTTCCAAGCATTAGTTATTAATAATTTTGTGTTGCCATATACATATTCATGAAATATATGTTTGTATGGCAATATATATCGATTTTGAAATAGACAATTACAATTAAGAGAAGTAAGTCCTGGTGCATCTTTGCCTTTTTCCAACCTATCCATCACTGCGAAAGTCTCTTGAACAAGCATTTTTTATAAAGGGAAGGAAAACTTATGAATTTCTTCAAGGATTTTGTCTTCTATACCATAGGCAAATATTTTCTTCTGGCAAAAATTGAAGGCAACACATTCAGAATCAGTTTGTTTCTTAATATCAAGAGTGACAATTTTATAAGAAGCACTTAGAAAAAAATAACATAAAATTAAACAATATCCAAAGTAAGATTCAAAAAGCATCGCTTATCAATTAATCCATGCAAATAAGATGTTATTCTTTTGAGCTTGCTATAATAAGACTTAAGAGGATTTGTGGAGATAATCTGAAGAAGAAAAGGTAAGTACTGACATACCCAAAGAGCCTACTGATGAATATTTTTTATATAGTTTTTTTTAACATATATAAAAATAGTAGGAACCAAACAAGAACTGATAGTATCTTGAAGTAATTGCTCACAGCTGATTTTTGTTTTTTGTGTATTGCCAGAACTATAGTTTCATAAGTTTTTTTATTATAGATTTTCGATATCCATGTTTGCATAATATGAACAGTACAGAAAAGTATTTCACATTTTTGCTTGCCACCTAAAAGCCCAAGAAAAACTTATTTAATATTATTTGTCTTAGCACTACTCTGATCTAAAAGAAAATATTGAGAAGTCTATCGAGTACATTTTTTTCTGATAATTTGTAATGCTTTAGCAATGGTTTTATTATTCTCATTGCTTACAAAAAAGTATGTGCTGACATTTTAGCATCTATATCTATCCCGAATGTATAATGTAAAAAGACACCAATCATGTTTATTGATTTTATATGTTGAATCCATTAAAGTTAGCCATCCATGACATTGAAGTTTCTCAAGTTGTTTGGGATACATAAAAGCAATACCTTTGATAAATCATCGGAAAATGTTTTTAGAAAATTGCTGAAAAATACAATACTGTTCAATATAATATTCTTGATTGCTTAGATATAACACAGTTTTCAAAATATCTTGTTTTAGCTTAGTACTATCAACAAGATAAGCTTCTATAGGTTTATGAAGTTGATATTTGATATTCACAACTTTCTTTTGTTTTAAATTTTAAACACAATTATTAAGATTTAGTGAATTGATATATTTCTTGACAACATTAACAATAGCTACTGAAGAATAATACTTAATAGCTTCTTCTTTAATTAAAATTCAAATAATCTCAGGATGTTTCAGCTTATCACTATCTGTAAAAATATGAGAATGATTTAATGAGTTTTTAACATTTTCAATTCAAATTATTTTAATTAAAACTAGTTATGATACTTTGATTTTTGTATAACAAAGGCCAGATGATTGAATCATTGTTATTCTATATTTTTTGATAGGAATTTCTTTGTTTTCTTACTCACTATCTTCTTGTTGATCATTTTCTCACTTATTCGAATTTCGATGTTTGGCAAAATAGCAAATAAAAACTTTCCAAAAGTTATCATTAAGAAGTTTGCAAAAGTAATACTGTGTCCATATATTCATAACAAAAGGTCACCAAAATTTATCAAATTCTTCCTCTGAAATCTCAAATGATTCATTAACATTAAAGAGAAGAACCCATTTCTCATCAGGAGTAAGGTTTAAAGAAGGTAACGGAGTTATAGTAGGAAGAATAGTAGAGGCAATAGTAGTTTTTGTTAGAGAAAGAGAGAGAGTAATTAAAGGAACTTGTTTTTCATTAGAAGCGAGGTTTGTTAAATTATGATTAGAGCTTGCATAAACGGTAGAGTTATGAAAATCCATTATAATTGTTAAAAGCACGATCAAAACTTATCAAAAAAAAAGCACAAACATGTAAAACTTGTCAAAAAAAAAATAAACCGAAGAACAATTTATTGTTTAGAATACAGAATAGCTCCATAATTTGATTGGTTACCCATATACATAAGAAATCTGAGTCACGTGAAATGTACTCCACTTTAGCTTTCCCCTTTTATCGGAATTTTTCCCGTTATCGTGATAAAAATTTTCAATTTGATATCGGAATAAATCCGGGTCTCTGATACTGCATTATGGCTTACACGTGATTTTTATTTATGTAACGGCTAATGTAACGTTGTGTCGTAACGTTAGTCCCAAAAATGTCTTTTTATCTCGCAAGATTTTTTCGTCCTACTTCACGAGAAAAGGTAAAAGCCATACTTAAGGAACAAGGATTTACCGGCACAATCAACCATATTGGTACTGATTTCAATAAAAAAGATTTGCAAGCGCTAAAAGTGAGCTTTCAGCCTGCTCTCAAGTGCAATGTCATACCTTGTAGCAAACTGCATAATTTAGGTAAAATTAAATTCTTTAATACTATTTGTTATTTGTGATTTATTAATTATAATGAAGGTACGAACTATTCTGTGTCAAACTCTTTTAACGAATCTGACGCTAATAATTTAAATATTATTTAGCCATAGAAAAATATATTCTTCCTAACATCGATAGTGACACACTCACAAGCAGAAAATTTGATGTTGATCAACTTAAAGAAATTTCGGATGATCAAGTCAAAACATTCTTAACTGATGTGCACGCAATTCTCAAGAATTTAGGTTCCGATGAAGGCATGGATGAATCTATGACTGATATACTGTTAAATAATTTACTAGTTCAGATTATTGGTCTGCATAAACATCCCTTGAAAGTTAGGTGAGAAATTATAATATCCTTTTTTTTGTTTATTATGCATTCCAATGATTTCTTATCTACAAACATAGCATCCAACCGCGATGCAGATTATACATCGCAGACGAACCTTATGTTACAGCACATCCTGAATTTGTGGTTACTAGGAAGGATGATTCTATGGTTGTTGTAGAGGTCTGTATGTTTTGATTTTAAAATTCTTATTTTGTTGACTCAAACAGCTTTCTATTAACAGAATAAACATCTGAGGAACACGTGCCTTACCAATCCGAAAGGTTTTGGAGAAGCGCAGTTGGCCTCCGAGATACTCGCGTGTGGGAGTGAAAATATGCGTCAAACTTCACGTAAAACTGGTTTAATTCCAGATCAAACTATATTTGGTATTCGCGCTATCTCCACGTATTTTACATTTTACAAAACGGTAATCTCTAAAAAATATTGGAATGAACTTGATTTCGGCTTACCACAGACCGAGTCAGTTGTTATTGAAAGGTGGCCAGAAGGGGAACGTCCAGAGGATGGTCTGGACATTGCAGAACCAAATGGGAGACGAGAAGTGTTGGATGCATTGGCTAGAATTCGTCAATTTCTTTTGCAATAGATGAAATCGTATATTATTATATCATGATTAGTATAGCTGGGCTTGGGGCTCTTTATAGTTTATTTTAGCATGCTTTATTTCAAATGAATTTGTTATAATAAAGAATTTCGAATTGGCATTATTTTTATTTTATCCATATTTATCACGTGATTCTTATGCTGATTCTTGCTTATAGTAGAATCAAAAAATAAAATGCATTTTAAAATTCTGAACTTATTCAACGAAACCCAACTCTCAAAGATGATTTGGAATAACTATGTATGGATCCTCATAATCCCAAACATATCTTAAAACAATCGAATTCTTCTCGCAAAGTTCTTTTTTTGAGCTGATCACGCATCAACTGCCTTTCAAACTCTTCCGGATCTTTGTGAAAGTATTTTACGTGTTGCTCATGTTGTTTACCTTGTACTTCTATAGCAAATTGGATAGTAGATGTCGAGTTCTAGTCCTCGAGGATGTTCAGGTATTTTCAAGAAATCTGGTCGGCGGATGCTGGAAGGTGGGCCAAGAATGTTAGTTATGACTTTGCGACATAGATTTTCATGTTTATTTAAGCAATATGGGCATCATGTCTTGGAGTGCTTTATACAATTAAAACTTGAAAACCATTTATGACCCTTATTACACATCCATTGCATTGGAACACAGATCGTTAACAATGTTGACGGAGTATTTTGCCAAATTAAAAATACTAATGATTATCCCAATCACCTCCGGGCATATCCGAGGCCGGGCTATATGATCGGAGGCCGGAAGTTCGAAGATAGAAATTGAAGGTAGCCGGTATTATTGCACGAGAAAAAATATATAAATAATATTATAAGTATTCTTAGCTGAAATTGCCACACCTCCGCTAGAATACTTAATAATATAGTTCAATGATATCGTCTATGTTCACCTTGTGAACCGAATCATCGAAATACCTAGAAAGTTTATTGTAAACCTTTTATATATTTTTTAAGCCAGTTTTTTGCTTTTTTCTGGGAATAATCATCGATCTCCTTTTCTCTTTTGTCCGAATATTTAATCTGCATTATTTTATCTGAAAGGGGTGGTTGAAAACTATCATCTTCATTAATGAAGCGTGCGCACATCCCTACAGTTTGTTCTAAATAGTACCTGATATCTATCTCCATATTAAACTCTTTCGCAATATTTGCGAACTCCATATAATCGCCCTTCCTTGTCGATTTCGTGCCATCTTCTTTATAGCGGGGACCATCATTCACTACAACATAACTAAAGTGCTCACCAGGGTCAGGGATCTTTATATTTTTTTCTCCATTTGCTATTCTTTTTCTCATCCGTTCCATAAAGATTTTATTGCATGGGAGACCTCCTTTGGCTTTCCATTTGGACATTGCAATAAACTGGTTAAAATCCCACTGTCTAAATCTAGCATCTCGGAGAACATCTTTAACAATTTCTTGAATCGGACGTGTGTTATCGATACCCATAGCCTCCCACATAATCTTTTCTCCGACAAACCTGAAGAGCTCAGAATTCCCCTGCTTCACAGTATCAATTCCTTTCTTAAAGAGATCATCTGGTCTAAAGTTTACTTCATATTCATGTCCAATCCCAAAGTACTTCTTTTTACCGGCAAAACATACGGGAAATAATACCTTTTCATAAGCCATCTTAAGATAAGATGTGCCGTTTTTTATCCTAAGATAGGCGTTAATCTGATCGCGCAACTTTTTTATTACATCCATAGTAATTTTGACCATTTCGGTCCAGTACGCTTCTTTAGAAAGTTCGCCTCTGGAAAAGGCTTCATCGCATTTTTTTAAAATACTTATCAGGACAGGTGAGATACAAAGAATCGGTATCGCCGTATTTTATCCCAAACCCTATCTTTGTTACGAATTCGGCAACAAGGCTAAGAATGTATTTTCCCGCCGAAGTAGTTCCTCCAGCTAATTCACGAAGAAAGATAGGAGATTTGGAGTTTCCAGCTTCGCCATAAAAAGTGTTCATGTATACCTTCAGAGCTCCTTGCTTCGAATCAGAATAATCATAATCGAAGCATACGGATGAATATTCTGAATTTAAGCTTTCTAGAATCTTTTTGCCTCTTTTTTTAGCTGAACTTATTGTCTTCCCAAGGCGGTCCCTTTTCTTTCCTAATAGGGCGAGCTGTGCTTTAAGTTCTACTCTTTTGTTGAACAAATCCTCTAGCACGACAGGATATAAACCCTTCTTTTTGAATTGATTATCATGTCTTACGGTCCAAGCTTGGACGGTGCGATTATTAAATGGAAACTCAATCTTATGTAAAATGTTTCCATTTTTTTCCGCAATATTGGCCTCTCCATGTGTTAGTATTATTTTATCTGGAGAGAGATTATAAGCCATGATGAGACTGGGATATAATGAGATGAAATCCAATCCCGTTACAGGTCTTCTCGTTTCAATCCCTTTTTTAGGTGGAAATACGTATGCGCCGGAATATTTCCCTTTTTCTATATTTTCACATACTCTTGTGCTAAATAGCATATCCCGTTTAAAAGCATAAGCGCCCAGAAGGTTTCGTACCTTCATTCCGTTAGCGTGATAGTGTGAGTCGAACAAGATACATGAGCTATGGAAGCAACTTCTCTGTAATCATTTATTTGACTTAGCTTCACCAAAAGCTCCTGGCAACGTAATGCGTCTATAATGCAATAGTTAGCTACTTCACGCATTTGTCTTGTAATTGAAGGAGAAGGATCTTGTTTTGCCTCTGAATAGATCCTCCACATTACATCATATGGCATGTCAGCTTTAGCATCAAGACCGCACTTTTTTAAGAAGAATTTGAGCGAACCTCCCTTTTCTACTTCAGCCTTAGGGAAATATTTTTTGAGGCATACTCGGACATCAATTGGTACACACCCCGGGAGTTTAAGAAAACTAGAATAAAAATTCTCTTCCGCAGTGATTTTGATCTTAATTGGACCTCCCAAATATTCTTTTACTTCCTCAACTTCCTCACCCGACCCCCATACGGTTCCCTCTTCGTCGGTATTCTTTCCTTCCCTCTTGAAAACATTTTCAGATTTCGCTCCTATCTTTCCACGATATTTCCATTTTAGAATATCCTCCTTTGTTTCAAACTTTCCTGTCATTTGCTCCCACATCCATTCGAGTATGTTGAGATGATAGGCCCTTTCCATTATAAACCGCCAATCATAATCGGAATCATTAAACCCAACGTGGATGTCAGGGGCAAATGCTCGCCAGCAGATGGCGAATGCTTTCAGCAGATTTTCTTGGTTTCCACATATGATTGTGGTCCATCCCGGATCTGATTCTGTCTCAACATCGACAAGACATATTTGCTTTAGTGGTTTTGGATCATCTTTCCAATGCAGTGTCATACAAATCATAAAGGCATTATCATTCAGATCGAGGACTTCAGCGAATTCGCCTAACTCTTGTGATTGTGTTTCTATATCCCATGTAAGGACAAGAGTATGATCCCGTAAGAGAGCTGAAATAGGGAATCGGTCACTTATTGTTGCAAGGCTTTCTATCGGCTGAAAATCTTTTTTAGAAGTATAGAATGTGTGCGGACAGAGAGGATCAACCCCTTTCTTATATATAGCATAGACCACCCGGAAAGTTGGATTCCATTTTCTCGAGCCACCTTACGGTGGAATGAGTATAAATCATCTGATGCAGTTTCGAAATTATTATCTTGAATAGCTTTTATGGCTGTCTTTCTTTTACCAGTACCGCTTGTATAAATCCGTAAATATGTCTTTTTTTCTGTATGGTAGCCACGAAAAGGGAAAGCTTTAACATGCTCGATTTTTTGAGTCTCCACTTTATCAGAGAGAAGGATATCTCTCACCCTCGCTTCGCATTCATCTGGAGACTCCCCATCTGGAACAAGAACGTCAAAGAATACTCTAATACCAAAAAGGGTTACTACCGCTTTTTGGCCATTAATAAGGGAACCATAGAGACGAAGTACATAGCAGTACTTTCCCTTTATCTTTTGACTTGACCCTTCACAGTCGATGGCCATGAATGGTATTTCCTGACAATTGAATAGAGCATCTTCAAGGATTGCGGTTAATCCCTCATCATTTTCCGCAACTATATTATTTCGAGTTGGGATCTCCGACAAGTATTTTTCACCAGAATAGCGAATGACCTGATTGCCTTTCATTTTATCTTTTTCAGCCTCTGGGTGAAAAAGGGCGGAGGGCGCGTCGAGGAACTCTGAAAGCTCGGATTGTTCGGTCTTTTTTTTTTCTCAAGCAATTTATAGTTATACCAAATCTCAAGGTATATTATTCGCAAGAAAAAAAATTTAAAATGAAATTAATTATCCGAGATTATTAATCGGTATACACAAATGGGAGGCGGAAAAAAGGTGACACCCTGGAATTTTTATTATTGTCCATATATCCTTAGGACTGGCGAAGTATGTAATCGGAGATGCTATAATCCAAAAGGATGTAAAGTCCATCGGGATTCTAGGCAAGTTGCTTGCAAAGAAAGCGGATGTAAAGAGATGACAAGATCCAAATATGACTATTGCGATACACATGCAAAAAAACATAGATCAAGGGAACATTATCATCGAAAAAAGCTTGTAAAAATCCAGAATATATCCCAGCAACCTGCCTAGAATTCCGTCCTAGTTTCCGTCCTAGTTGTCAAAGTTTTCTGGGACGAATGAAATATAGCTAGATGGTAATTTTAAGACGAATGAAAGGGAAAGAAATAGTCCGTCCTAGTTGTCCTAGTTGTCCTAGTAAATTTCGGACTACTTTACTTTTTTTACCTATAGATATACCGGTATATAGTTATATACAGCATACAAATAGCATACATACTGTATATTATACATATACCATAGGATAGGTGACGATTTTTCTAGAATTTTTATTTTTACTAGGACAACTAGGACGTAATATAAAAGAACAAGTTAAATCGAAGAAAGAAGCTCTTCTCCCATAACAAAACCCGTCCTAGTTCCCGTCCTAGTTGACCTAATAACTTAGACAACTAGGACGGATCATGTCTCCACAGTTGGTAGCAAATATGGAATTGCATTTCGGCTGATCGTTAAGATTGTTGACGAAGTTTTGCCAAGAAAATGGCATACTCATGACCCCGACCTAGTTTAGACCATGATCGGACCTCGGAAGTGCTTACAACATCCCGCCAATATACCGGCAACTAATAGGCAATAGTTGGGTCGCAAATGGTGCACTTCCGGCAATCAAATGGGCCGGCCATAATAATACAAATTACACCTCCAATCTCAGGACACGAAATCAGTATACATATACCGGCAATAAATAGGTAATAATAAGGTTGCAAGATGGTGCACTTCCGGCAATCAAATGGGTCAAGCCAAGATAATACATATTACACCTCCATGCGAAATTGGCATACATATACCAGCAACTAATGGGCAATAGTTGGGTCATAAATGGTGCAGGCCGACTATAGTAATGAACAGTTTTATATATTTTGCATTTCGAATTCTCTGACCCGCGGGTCAGCGAAAGTCACGTGACCGGAGCAGTAAGGCGCAGTATAGGCCACTTTTTTTCACAATTTCGGCCAGATCCTTGAACATAATAACTTGGCATCCAAGCTGGAAAAACTGCCAGTTCCATAACACTTCCATGCTAGTTCCTCAACAGTTCCAAGACAGTTCCATAGTAGCTACCAGGTCATTATCAGGTCAATACCATGGCGCTGAGTTGGAACTCAAATCATGTGTCCTAAAGATCGGCCAGAAATTATGGTATAGTGCCGGCCAAAATCGGATCTGCAAATTACTGCGCCACCCGACATGATATTTTTTTATCACATTTTGGAATCTAGAAAAGGAACCAAATAGGCGCAAAAAGAAAAGCCTCAACACCCTAACAGATAACCAAAAAGGCCCAGAAGGAGTAAAACAAATGGATTGCTTTTTATCAATAAAAAGGTAATAAATCTGCAAAATAAATAAATACTTCTTTAATGATAAAAAGACTAAAAATAAAAAAGAAAAATGTAATCAATAGGTTATGAAGCTACCACTAAATTAAAGAATAACTGTTACCATTAAATCATTAAGCTACTATTAGATTAAAGAATTACACAAAATAATATAGTAAGAATTAACTAAAACAATAGCTAGGAGATTATAAAAAAAACTAATAAGATGAGAAGAGATTTATTATATAGGTTATGAAATTATTAATAGATTATACAATTAGGTTATAAAGTTATCAGTAGATTATGTATTTGGATTATGAGATTACCATTAGATTATGAAGTTTTTTTAAGATTATGAAATTTTTTTAAGATTATGAAGTTACTTTTAAATTATGAAGTTATCTTTAGATTATAAAATTATCTTTAAATTATATAGTTACCTTTAGATTATAAAGTTACCTTTAGATTATAAAGTTATCTTTATAATCTAATTTAAGTTGCTGGTAACTATTTTTTCTAGAGATAGTAACAAGCCATAGAAACTCAAATACTAGTTGAAATTTGGTCATTTGATATGTCGAATTATTGCTAAATTTTTAAATTTTTTATAATTAATTTAAGTCGAACTTATATCATTTGGTACCACTCAGTATAAAATCAAATATAGATATTCATTAAACATTCGTTAATAGTTCGACTATAACATTATAGCATTCGACAATATAAATACAATATTTGATAAATAACTTAGCCATAATTTAATATATTTTATGTTTGAATTTTTATATATATTAGCAATTAATTTTATTATTTAAAAATAAAAATAATTAATAAATTTAATAATTATTCGTAATTATAATTAACAAAAAGTTTATTAAAATATGATAATAAAATAATATAATTTGAATATAATAAAAAAATCGCTTATATAAATAAAGTTATTTATTATCTTCTATTTCTTCTTCCTTTTCTATCACTTCTTTTTCTTTTTCTTTAATTGATCTTATTCTAGATGATCTTCTTAATGTTCTTTTTTTCCTCTTTTTTTTTTAGTTATTTTTTCTTATCAATTTTTGTACCTTCTACTGCTTTCACCCTAGCAACTGTCTCCCTGATCTTATCTATTATTATGCTTTCTCCAATTTGATGCTTTTCCAAATATATTGATGATTCTTTGGCAACCTTTCATTTTTTATGTTTTTCTACCGATTCTTCAGCTTCTCCTTCTGAATAGTAAGTCCAATTTAGCAAATCTTTGAGTAGTGTTATATCATAATAAGTCACAGTCTTATAAGTTCTCTTATGAGTTATTTTTGTATATTGAATTTCTATTGAATATTTGTTCAAAACTTCTTTTAGCAATTTAGTTAACTATATAATAAATAAATATTTGGTATATAAATATTCAGCAAACAAATATTTAATTTTAATAATATTTAAATACCTCATAAGAACACCAACTATAATTATATATGACTACTTTTCTTTTATCACTTTCTAAATCAATTTCACTTTCTTCAAGTGAATAAACCTTCATTTCTTTAAGGACATCAAGCAATTCATCCCAATATTTTGTAATTTCTTTAGACTTGTTTTTAATTAATGATCTTGCAGCTTTAATTCTTTGGCCCTTTTTCTTTATTATTTGTTAAAAATTAGTATATGTAAAATAATGTATATATATAAGCCTAATGTTTTTATCTCATTTAACCGACAGTTTGTATGCAAACGCCTATTGTCTGCATCTAATTTTTCTGATTTTGATTTTAGATACCTTTCCCTTTAGTGATGATGTAAGGCACCCAACCAGTCATGTAGTTGTCTTCATGTGGGATTAAAGTTTGGAGCCATTAAACTCAATAATTCAGGTATTAGCTTGGCTAATATTTTTTTATTTTTAGAACTCGAAAAAACTTTGTTCACCCTTAGTTTATAATATTTAGGAAGTGTCTTCACAATATATTTCATTTCATCTCTTGTTTTTTTTGAATCTGTCTTATAAACTGCTTTGCCCTTACCCTTTGTGTCTCTAACTGGTCAAAACCTTTGTT